CTACTTCTCTTAGTGAATCAAATTGTATAATCTCTTTAAACAATTCTTGTTGAAATTCACTAATCCCCTTTCCAAAGCTTTTCTCTCTTTCTCAAAATGCCTAACTCTAATTTTTTTTTCAAAGATCCCTATCTCCCAAGAAGTTGAAAACCCTAATTCATTCAACTTCTCCTTTTCTACTCAAGAAGGCTGTAAAGAAATCTCTTGTGAAAAGAGAGAAAGTTAGAAAATAGGTGGCTGGAAATTAAAACTTATAAAGGGACTAGGTCATAGGGTGCAAAAACAAAAGTGAAGAAAAGGAAATGACAAGAGAGGAGCGGATAACGGCAATGGAGAACCAGAAGGTTTTGAATGGCAGAGTCTTTGACCCTGCCATTCTAACCAAATTTGGAATATCAAATCTTTTTGATGCACTTGCCACAAAACGTGGAGATGTCAAGAATGCAGGGTTACCGAAAAGGTTTCTCAAAGGGAAATATCAGTTGCTTTTTGAGTTCATCAACAAGGTGTTAGTGCCCATAACCAAAGAAAAAAAAAGGAACAGTGGCATCTGCTGCTGATCTGTTTCTCATGGAGAAGCTTGATGAACTTGAAGAGATCAACCTCTGTGCCATTATGCTGGAATGTGAGTGTGTTGAAGGAAAAGCTAGGGGCAGATCTCAAGTGACAAATGTTCTAGAGCAGCAGGCTACTTTTAAACGGGAAGTGACTGATCTTACTGAGATTCTGAATAACAAAGAGATTGAAATCACTTCACTGAGGTCTGAATTACAGAAGGCGGTTTCGAGGGGACCTGGTACCAGTGATGGAAATAAGCAGGTGTTGCAAAAGTTGAGGGATGAAAATGAAAGGCTGGTATCAGTGAGGCATTTGTCTTCAACATGAAGCTTATCAAGGCTCATGAGGATGCAAATGAGCGTCTGTCTCTATTTATGCGCACCCTCAATCCCCTTCCCCTCCGTCCTAAAAGTGTCTTGTTTCCCTAGTTTCCCTCTTTGTTCTTCAATCCTGATTAAAACTCTTCTGGTTTTGTGTTGTTTTGACTGACTACAGTGGTCAGTATTTGTGATCTAATACTATTTATGTTTCTGCCCTGTTCATGTGTGGTTTAATATTCTTTTTATGTTTACATACACATGTTTTGTGTGCCCCAAGGCCCTGAATTCTTTATTGCCTTGCATTTAACTTGAATATGTTTACTGCTTCACCTTTTCAATAATGTCAAAAGGGGGAAGTTTTGTTGTAAAGTTGGCTGTGGAATAGGGGCACTGAACTAAGGGTTAACTGTGGTTGTTAGGGGCATTGAACTAAGGGGGAACGAACTGTGGTTGTTACTGGTGCACTAACAAAGGGGGAATTTGTTATGTATTTGAATGAATGTTTGTTCACTCACGTGAGGAGTTATGCAGGTTGTTTGTCATCATCAAAAAGGGGGAAATTGATAAGAGTTTATGCCTTTTGGTGTTTTGATGATCTCCTCACAAGTGCAGGGACCTGGTCCTCTGCAGAGTATGTGACGCTTCAGAGTACTTCACCAATCAGAAGCGACGAGGTTGCTTGTTCAATTAACGGGGAAACACCAGTCATTGAATGAATGCTTGTTCACTCACGTGAGGAGTTATGCAGGTTGTTTGTCATCATCAAAAAGGGGGAAATTGATAAGAGTTTATGCCTTTTGGTGTTTTGATGATCTCCTCACAAGTGCAGGGACCTGGTCCTCTACAGAGTATGAATACTCGTCCAGCGGTCAAATTGCTGTACAGCTGTAAAAGTTGTCTGCGTCAGAAAGTTGGTGAAGCTGCAGAGTACTCCACCAATCAGAAGCAATAAGGTTACTTGTACGTTTGGCGGTATTTCTTCATTATATATATCAAACAACAAAACAACATGAATCATTGTAAGAACTAGGTTAAGGGTAACTTAGGTTCTTACTCTAAAAGTCTATATTAATCGGTTAGGATTAGTATAGTGGGCGGTGTTGTATCCGCTTAGCAAAGTCTAAGTTATCTAAGGGTGATAGCTTAGTGGGCAGTGTTGTATCTGCTCTGGCTCATCTAAGTAATAGGAGGTATTGCTTAGAGTTGGGATTAGTAGGCTAATCTCGATTTGTAAACTTGCTTTTACTTTTGCTTCGAAAAGATTAGTGAAAGAAGTTTGAAAAGTCCTGGCAGGCCAGGTCGTGGTTTTACTCCCTTGAGCAAGGAGGTTTCCACGTAAAGTTGTTGTGCAATCTTTACTTTCAGCACTTTGTTTATTTTCTGTTATTGTAACTGTGCTGAGGACCTGGTCCCATCTAGACTAGTGGACGCATACATTACAACACAAGTGTTCCTCCAAGAAATCGTAGCCCTTAGATTTTACGTTAAAGGCTATTTGAGGCCTCATGACAAATGTACTAGGCCATGATCCTAATAGTTTCACATCATTTTCAGCCATGATCAAAACATAGTTAGAAACACAAAATAGTGCTTAAAGTATGGTGTGAAGAGTGGATTGTGAAGTTGGCAGAGTGTGTGAATGATAAAATTGAAAGGAGAGGACCTTCTTAATTAGTTTGTCCATTTGTTGATAGATTCCAAAAGAATTCAACATTTTGAAACTTGTGATCTTAAATATGTGATAACATTGGCGTGATTATAAAATGTGTGGTCTTAAACATGTTTTAGCACTTATTTGACTATGAAAGCATCTTGTTAAGGAAATATAGAACTGTGTCATTCTTTCTGCAATGAAGTAATAAAGAAAAGTGGAACGGAAGGAGTAGTGACTAGTAGATCTTTGCTGAATAGCTTATTACACAATGTCAATGTACTATTTATCCCTTTCAAAAAGACCAAATGTAGATTGAAAATAACTATCAAGACGTCATAGTCTAAACACATCATGATCAAAAGAAGAACATACGAATTTAGCTAGACGCTTGAGCTCTAATTTTTGCCCAAATGACCTTAGCAGCCTGAGCAAGCTTATCAGTTTCAGGCATGACATCTTTGACAACACTATCACCACAAAAATCTTCAGCCCATTTGTATAAACCCGGAGTTTTGGATTCATCAAGCAGATTTACGTTGTTTAATTTCTCGTTCACCTTCAGCCAACCCAAGAAGCAACCAAGTGCAATGTCCAAGTATCCGATTTTGTCTCCACCAAAGAACTTCTTGCCTTTGCTGCAATTCTTGAAGACATCTTCCAACAACACTAGGCCTTCGATCACAGTCTCTGTTGCTGCCTTTTTTGCGTTCTCTTCTTGTGTTGCTGCCACGCCACGCAGTGCTGGAAACCACTGTAGGATCAAGTAAAATGTTAGTATGTATACTATCCTAACTCATGTCAAGAGAACTCAACAATTTATACGCGTAAGAAAGATTGTTATTGACATATTTGTACAATACAATTTTCTAACTAACAAAATTAACCACTACATGTATTTCCACATCGAAAATCGAAATACTACTTCTTTTTCTCATAATAATGTGAATACTAATGCATTTAAACAACAAAATATGTTGCTAATTCTATTTAGTGATGCATTTTAAAAAAAAATTGTTAGCTTCGAGCAATTTAGTGATCGATTAGCGGACTAGTTTGCTTAATTCCTAACACAATAGAATTTTGATCCATAAAGATATACTCCCTCCATCTCATTTTATGTGAGGTAGTTTGACTCGGCATGGAGTTTAAGAAAGAAATGAAGACTTTTAAAACTTGTGGTCCAAAATGAATGATAGAAATTTGTGTGGCAGTAAATCATTTCATTAAGGGTAAAATAGACATTTTATAGTTAAATTGTTACTTAATATATAAATGTGTCATTCTTTTTTGGACGGACTAAAAAGGAAAGTAAGTCACATAAATTGGAACAGAGAGAGTAATTTGTTTTTTTTTCTCTCTCTCCATTTACGAAATAAAGACAGAAAACAAACCACTAAAGAGATCTTGATATATAACTGAAGAAATGAAAAATATTTGGTATAGTAAAACAAATATTATTTTTTGTAGTTAAATTATTTTCCACATTGAACACACCTAAAAGAAAATACGACAGGTTAAATATGTATTTACAATTACCAACCAGTCTACAAATATTTACATTTTGGAAGTCATGATTATCATGTTAATTAAGTGCTCAAAGTTGTATTAACAACCTAATTACAGTCCACAAGATACTTATTCATTATATATGTCATTATCATGCAATTAATAAGCGTATTATACATTATACACACATTAAAACAGTCCAGTTACCTAGTGACGTTGTCCACGGACCTACGTCGGCAAGGTTTTAAAATGCATTTAAGTCTAACCTTTTTATATACTTAGCACCTCTCGTGCTTTATCGATTGTAAGATAATTTGTACAAGCCGCTAGCTACTGCTTTATCGATTGTAAGATAATTTGTACAAGCCGCTAGCTACTGCTTTATCCATTGTAAGATAATTTGTATAAGCCGCTAGCTAGCTATAGAAGTGTGTTTGGTATCACGAAAGTAATTTTCCTTCTGAATTTGTTTTCATATATATTTTCCTACAAACTATTTTCTGTGTTTGACTGGTAAGTGCAAAATATATATTTCAAAAGTTAAAAATAACAATATTATGCTAACCAATTGAAGAACAATTTGATAGAATTTTTGAGTATTTTAAAAATTAAAAATAATCTCTAAATATTAATATTGGAGCAAGTAACAAGAAACTTCAACAAATATTCTCCGGTAACCAACAACCACAAAAATAACTACACATCATGGAGCACGTTTTCATGTACTATGACTTTTGTTGTACGAGACATACTTGAAAACGTTTGGGGGGGGGGGGGGGGGCGTACTTAAAAACGTTTTGGGGGGGGGGGGGGCTACAACTTCATCTACGAACCCAATAACTTTAGACCAAACCTTGTATTTCTATCTAACTTTCACTTAATATTTAGAAATAATTCATCAAGAACTCAATAACTCAAAATTATATACATATCGTCGTACTTAAAAGTACACTTATCAAGCATACATAGTAGGAAAGAACAGGAGAAACTAAAAATTAATCAAAGCACACACCTTATCATCAATGTAAGATGCCCAAAATCTTGCAATGGCACGATCATAAGGATGAGAGGGAAGAATAGAATGACCAAAATTAGTCCAATTTTCATCAATATATTGAACAATAATAAGAGATTCACAAATGGGCTTTCCATCATGAATTAGAACTGGAATTTTCTTGTAAATTGGATTTGATTTAAGTAAAAGTTCACTTTTAGTACCAAATTGTTCCTCCAAGAAATCATAGGCCAAAGATTTGATGTTAAGAGCAATACGAGTCCTCATGACATATGGACTAGGCCATGCTCCTAATATTTTCAAATCATTTCTAGCCATGATCAAAGAGGAGAACAATGAAAATGTAATAAAGTGATAGTGTTTAATTTGAGATATAAATAGTTGGGGGATGATGGGGTAGGGGGGACCTAGAGCATTAATAATCATGAGTTGGCTCAACTTTGTAACTTTCATTTAATATTTCTACCCTCGGTCACATATTAGTCGCCCACGTTACTAAAGTTGGTTGTTCCGAATTATTTGTCAACTTACCAAATCAAGAGAGAATTTTTGGATTTTCTCTAATTTATCTTTACAATCGTTTTTTTCTTTTTGAAAGTGTAAATAAGTTTGTAAAGTTTCAAAAAAAATTCTTAAAGGAAACAAAACTATTCTACTTATTTATATTTTTTAAGGAGCGTTGTAAAGGGGCACTAATATGAGACGGAAGAAATATTGTATAATAAGGGATTGTTTATGCTGGTTAGAATTATGTAAATTTTAATGAAATAGAGATTAGTTATGCATGATTTAGTTATTTATATATAAATTATTTTATTTTTATTTTATATAGTATAGAATAATAGAAATATATCAATCGACTTAACTTATAGATGTTTGAGTTATGTATGATTATAAAATGATAATTAAAACCATACTTATAGTATTGAATTCATTTATTTAAAAAAAAAATACAAACTGTTAAATATAATATTAACTATTCTTATTTTAGTATATAAATAATTCACTTTCTAATCAATAATCAAACCACCTTTTAAGTGTTTAATTTGAGATATAAATAGTGTTGGGGGTACATTAAAGGAAAAATTACTTAAATACACAACACTTCTTTACCTATTCTCAATATTTCCCTACTCTTTTACTAAAATACAAAAATCCCTTATTTCCCCCCATTTCAACTTAACCGGATACTTTATTAGTTTAAGTATCCGTCCGTTATTAATTAAAGTATCCGCAGTGCTATATTATGCATCCGCCCGTTAATTTAAGTATCCGTGCGGCTAACAACTTAATAATTTAAGTATCCGCCCGTTATTAATTAAAGTATCCGCGCTGCTATATTAAGTATCCGAAAAACACTAAAAAAAGGGATTTTTGGTAATTAATGAAAGAGTAGGGAAAGGAAGTAATTTCTTTCTTATACTATGTCATTTGCCTAATTTTTACTAAATTAAACAGGAACGGGCCTAGTGCATAAATAATTATGAGTTGGCTGAACTTTGTAACTTTGATTTAAATTGTGTATACGTATAAAAAAAATTAGGTAGAATTTAGAGGGTAGTTTGGTTGCTAGTTAGAATTATGAGTTTTATATTAATAAATATAAAAAAAAAAAGAAAAAATATTTGATTTTGTAGTCATTTACGAACTTATTTTTTATTTTATATCCTTTTTATAAGAGATTTTCATTTTTACAATTTTATTTTCTTCTATTTAATTTATAAATGGTAATAAGAGATCATCTCCACAAAATTATTTATGCAAATTTAATTAACCATATGTTAATTATTTATCTTACATCCTACGTAAAATAATTCATCAAAAATTGTGTTTTCTGGTCAAAAGTGACTATTTCTATAGTATGGGGACACATAGGTCTTTTTAAACCGAATCCAACCAACACCTCCGTAGCTTTCATCCCCACTACTCCATAATCATACTTGTTGTGATTTATAATATTTGTCTAGATTATAGACAAATATTTTTGAAATAATTATTTTTTAATTACTTTATTACTAAACACAAGAAAACAAATGGGTAATTTTTTTGTTTTTGAGAAATAAAAAAGACTAAGCATACGAGTCTAGCTTCATTAAAAACTCGACTAATTAGCCATGAACCTTCATGCATGTAGTGCAGTGGATGTAGTGCAGTGGATGAGGTAGTTCATTTTTTAATTAGAGAATCTCAAGTTCGAGCTCTGAATATGAAAAGTTATTGATAAGGAGTGTCTCCGCACGAATAAGGCCCTACAAGTTATAAATCCAAAATAGTCAAACTTCTATACGAGTATTACACATTAAATGAGAAAAAACAAAGTGAGTGAGTTGGGCAGTCAAGTCCTTTATATGGGACATTAAATTTTGAGAGTAGTTAACGGATAGAAAGTTTAAATGGATTATGTTAGGTATGCTTCATGGCCAAGAACTGAACACGTTAAACGGTTAAAGTTGAAACTTGCGGTGTTTTTTTCTAGAAGAAGTGGGACCTTTCTGAGTATGTTTGGTACGAAGAAAAATGTTTTACATTGAAAATGTTTTCTTGGAAAACAAGTGCATTTCTAACATATTTTTTAATATTTGGTTGGAGAGTAAAAAATATGTTTTAATGTTTGGTTGGTAAATGAAAAATATTTTTCAGAAAATATCTTCTTTTTTTTTGCTTGAGACTAAAAAAATACTCTTTAGGAAAATAATTTCTGATTTGAAAATCAACCCCGATAATTGATCTAGGACACGACTCCGACACCCAAACTAGGACAAGACCCTCGATGACCGTTCCAAAATCTGACCCTGAGATCTGACCCAGGACTTGACCCAAACTTTCGACCTAGGACCTGACCCAGGGAAAAAACTTTCAAAAACAATTTTTTTTAAGAATTTTTTTTTAGCGTGGTCGTTGG